ATCTACCTCTTCGAGAGCAATTTAGAGCTTCTTACGTTTGGCGGGTTATTATCGCCCGTTCGTGGATGGGTTTTCATCTATCTCAGCCCCATTGACCAATTTGACCCTGAAGGGTGCTCTTTTCAGATGGTCCGACGAGTGTGAGATAAGTTTTCAGAAGCTCAATACTGCACTGACTATAACCCAATATTGGTATTTCCTGCGGGTTTGGGATCTTACACCATGCATTGTGATGCATCGCATATTGCGCTTGGTGCTGTGTTGATGCAGGGCATTAGGGTGATTGCCTACACGTATCTGTAGTTGAAGGTTCATGAGAAGAATTACCTTGTGCATGACTTAGAGTTGACAGTCATTGTTCATGCACTGAATATTTGGAGGCACTAACTATACGACGCTCCATGTGAGGTCTATACCGACCATCAGAGTCTCCAGCACGTGTTCAAGTAGAAAGACCTTAATTTGCGGAAGCGGAGATAGTTAGAGTTGTTGAAAGACTATGATATCAGCATATTATATCATTTGGAGAAGGTCAATATAGTGGCCAATGCATTGAGTAAGAAGGATGAGAGCATGAAAAGTTTGGCATATTTACCTGTATTTGAGAGGCCACTAGCCATGGATGTTCGGATATTGGCCAATCAGTTCATGAGGTTGGATGTTTCGGAGCATAGCGGGGTTCTTTCTTGTGTTGTGGCACAGTCATCATTGTTGGAGCATGTCAAGGCTCGCCAGTTCGATGATCCTCACTTGTTGGTGTTAAAGGATAAAAGGCAACAGGATGGTGCCAAGGAGGTTGTGATAAATGATGATGGTGTTATGCGGCTTCAGGGCCCGATATGTGTTCCAAATATTGATGGGTTGAGAGTTGATCCTTGATGAGGGTCATAGTTCACGCTATTTCATTCACCTATTTGTCACGAAGATGTACCGTGACTTAAAACATCATGATTGGTGGCGGACAATGAATAAAGATATTGTTTCTTATGTCTCTCAAAATTTAAATTGTCAAAATGTGAAGTACGAGCATCAGAAACCAAGTGGTTTGACTCAGAGATTGGAGATACTGGAGTGGAAGTGGGAGCGCATCATCATGTATTTTGTGGTAGGTTTACCACGAACCTTAAGGAATATGACGCATACTGGTTATTGTGGGTTGGTTGTCTAAGACCGCACACTTCATTCCGGTGATTACTTCTTATTCTTCAGAGCGGTTGGCTCATATTTACATCTGGGAGATTATTCGCCTGCACGACATGACCATTTCTATTATTTCTGGCCGAGGCATGCAGTTCACATTGCATTTTTGGAGGGTCGTCTAGCGTGAGTTGGGCACGCGGGTCGATCTATGTACCGCATTTCTTCCTCAGACGAATGGAAAATCAGAGTGTACTATTCAGATATTGGAGGACATGTTGCGAGCATGCTCTATGGATTTCAGGGGTCAGTGGGACCAGTTTTTACCTCTATCAGAGTTTGCCTAAAACAACAACTATCAGTAGAGCATCCTGATGGCTCTGTACGAGGCCTTATATGGGAGGCGATGGCTTTCGCCGATTTGTTGGTTTGAGCCTGGAGGCTAGATTAATGGGCACTGATTTGGTATGTAATTCTATGGAGAAGGTTAAGGTGATTTAGGAGCGACTTCGTACAGCTCCATCCATGCAAATGAGTTATGCGAACCGGAAGGTTCGAGATGTAGCCTACATGGCGAGTAAGAAGGTTCTTCTCCGAATGTCGCCTATGAAAGGTGTGATGCGATTTGGGAAGGAGCGCAAGTTGAGCTCGAGGTTTATTGGCCCATTTGAGATGTTGGATAGAGTTGGGGAGGTTGCTTACAGGCTTGCATTGCCTCCTAGCCTAGCAGGGGTACATACGATATTTCACGTCTCCATGTATAGGAAGTGCCATGAGGATAGATCACATGTTTTAGACTTCACCACAGTGCAGCTTGATGAAACTTTGGCATATGAGGAAGAGTCGATGGCTATTCTAGATCGGCAAGTTCACAAGTTGAGATCTAAGAGTTATCCTTCTGTGAAAATTCAATAGAGCGGTCTGCTGATCGAGGAGGTTACGTGAGAGTCTGAGTCTGATATCCAGAGTAGATACCCCCACCTTTTTACCAAGTCTAGGTACTTTCTATGTACGTTTGAGGATGATCGTTTCTTTTAGAGGTAGAAAATGTGTCGACCAGATAGGTCGTTTTGAGTACTTGCCTTAATTTTTGTGTTATGAGGCCTCTCATAACTTAATTTGATGTTTCTTAATTTGCGTCCATGCTCCGTATCGCTTTTCGGAAAGCTTTTACCTAAAAGTTTGAAGAAAAATTGATTTTTTACTTAAAATACGTTTTGGGTTAGGGGTGGGAGTTCGGATTGAATTGGAAAATTTTGGTTTGGATTTTTGATTTTTCGACTGAAGAAATGACAATCCAAATCCAATCCAAATAAGCTCAGATTAGATTGGATTTTTAAAGTTCGGTTTCAGATTAATCAGTTTCGATATTTTAAATTTTCGATTTTGAGCTTATAAGTTGAGATCTTTCTTCTTTTTTACAAAAATAAATATCCAAATGAGGTACTCATGTTAAATTGCCCAAAAAGTTCCTCATTCTCACTGCAACCATCCAAATAAAGTATTTAAGTAATGAAAGTAATATCAATGAAATATAAAAGAGACATTAATACGGTCGATAAGAAGTAGTAATAGTAAAACTATGTCAAAATAGAAAGTATTGTGATAGTAACTTAGTAATTTATATTGAACATATGAGATAGTATCTAATGAGTAGGGTATTGAACTTATTATTATTGACATATGGATAATGGAATAAATATATAGTATAAAAACTTTGGATTTTTGGATATCCAAAAATCCGAAGTACCAAATCCAATATCAAATCCGAAATTTATATATTTTAAAAATCAAATCCAAAATCCTATCCATAATCCAAAAATCCAAACCATAAATCCAAAAAATCAAATTTTGGTTTGGTTTTCGGGTTTGCCCAAACTATGCCCACCCCTAGTTTGGGTTGACCATGGTCAACATTTTTGGTAAACGACCTCAGATTGATGTTTTAACGATTCTGGTAGGTTTATATGATGTTATCATACTTGTACGCATGTTTGGTCGGGGCCCCGAGTGACCCGAACGCGTTTCAGCGCATTATGTGAAAGATTGTGAAAATTGAGTTTTCAAGTTGAGATCTTGAGTTTTGATGATCGATTCTTGTTATTTAATGTTATTTTGATGATTTGAGTTAGCAAAGCGAGTTTTTCTAATATTATTACACTTGTGTGCATGCTTGGTTTTGAGCCTGGGGGCACGTGTGAGTTTCTGGTGCATTGCAGAATGATTTTGGGATTTATGATGTATTATGCTAGCATTTCAGGTCTGCAGGTCTCGCATTTGCGATGACCTGTTCGCAATTACGAGTCCTACTTTTGCAAAGTCGGATTCGCAAATGCGATATTTGGGGAGGTATGTTGACATCGCAAATGCGAAAGATATGGCCGCATTTTCAGACTGTGGGTGATCGCATTTGCGACCTTGGAGTCGCTTTTGTGACTTGAGCCGGGGGTTGGTAGCTTCACAAATGCGAAGCTCAGATCTCATTTGCGATGAAGGAGCTAATCGATTTGCAAGATTTATTTCGCATTTACGACGTCTAGCGGTATGATGCACTGATCGCATGTTTTGCATTTTCGTGTATCGCAATTGCCAACAAGAAATTGCGACGTCTGCAGTTGAGTAAAAGAGGGAAAAATCGGGACTTAGCTCATTTTACACAATTTCTCAACCCTAAACATTCTAGAGGTAATTTTTGAAGAGCTTTTTCTTCCCAAATTTATTGGTAAGCATCGTTAACTAGTTTTCAATCAATTGCAACTACTTTTCATGAATTTCTAGCATCAAATCTATGAATTCAAGGTAGAAATTCGAGGTTGAATTTAGGAATTTTATAAAAGTGAGGTTTGGACCTCAAATTGAGGTCGAATTTCGAAACAAATCACATAACCGGGCTCGAGGGTAAATGAATAATCTTGAATTGGTCCGAATCTCAGATTTTGACCAAGCGGGCCCAGGGTTGACTTTTGTTGATCTGTTCAATTAATCTAAATATTGAATCATTTTCATTAGTGGGAAGTTTCTAAATCTTATTTTTGATTGTTTGATAGATAATTAACTAGATTTGATTGGTTTGGAGGCATGCTTGCAGAAAAAGGTAAGTGTCGGTTTAACTTTGACTTGAGGAAATTAGGACTTGTTTGGTCAATTTGCTACCTGAACTATGTGTGTGGATGGCGTATATGAGAGGTGATGAATGTATATGCACTGTCATGGGTTAAAGCATGCGGGTTGGGCTAATTCTATGAGCACATAATTTTTGCCGTATGCATAAAATGCTCATAAAATAGCCCGAAATAGTTTTAATTACTTTTATAGAATTTTTGGAGTTTTTCTCTATTTTATTTTGACTTGTTTTGCATTTATTTGAATTTTATGCATATTTAGAAATATTTTAAATTATAAAATCATTAAAAAAACATTTGTTGTCTTTCATTTGGTGTACTTTAGGATTTTAATTGCATGTTAGGATTTAATTATGTGTTAAAAGTATTGTTAAAATAGAAATCACAAAAAAAACATTACCGATTTTGCATTTTAGCATTTTTAGGTTTAAATTAGTTAGTTTCCTTAATTTACAGTATTAATTAGTTAATTAATTAATCAATTCGAAAATTGGATAGTTGGGTTACTTTTGCAAAATTTGTTCTAATTAGAATAGATGGTTAGTTTTAAAAATTTAAACAAGAAGAGAATAAGCTGTAGAGTTTTTAAAGGTTTGGGCTAGTTATGTTGGCCTAACAGCTTTTGTTGCCTAGCCCAAAACTCATACCCAATCCGCTTGTGACCCGGTCCAAACGGCCTTACCCACCGGACCACATCTACCCATTTTTAATAAAAGTAAATGTTAAAAATTCAATCTTTACAATCAAACCTAACTCCCCGCCCCCAATTCCTCTACTGAACAGTTGGAAATCGTTTCCGCCACCTAGCACTACTTCATCACCACTCGCCGCCACGTTGACCACCATTGACAATCACCGAAAATCGCCCCACGACGGCGGATCACCTCCAAACGGCCCAAATTATTCACCATATAATACTCACCCCTTCCTCATCCCTAATCCATCAACCATTTTCTCAAAAACCTATCCAAACTCCACGATTAGTGGATCTGAAAAATTCAAGAACATCAAAACTTCCCCTTTTATATTTCTGGACCGATTCGGTAACTTGTGAGGTTGAATCGTACATCAATCGAAGGCTATTGTCAAGAGCTATCAGTTGGTGTGAGGTTTGATTCATTTATCGGTCGTCGGAGGTCGGTCAACTCGTCTTTAACTGGCCAGAACACTCACAACTCTCCATTATTCTCTTTCGGTCAAAACTTCAAACCCTTAGAGGTTTCTGACCAATGAAGTACTTATTCGACCAAATGGTTGAACAAGTATTCATTGGTCATAAAACCTTGATCGATTTTTAAGCGACAGATTTTGGGAGCCCAGATTCTTTCCATAATTTTAATTTTCGTGCTGACGATTGGTTTCCTTTTGGTAATTTCATTCTTATGCCTTTTTAGTTTACCTGCTTGTTTTATTTTGTTTGTCTTTTATCTCCAGTTCAAATGAATGAATTACATGATAGTTAAATTTATTAACATGGGTCTTAGGTTTGTTTAGTTGTTAATTCTAATTGTTCTTTTTAGTTCATCAAAATAGGATACGAAATTGGTCATTTTTCTAATTGGTGATCTGTTTGACGTAGCTTCAACGTGATTGAGCATGTTATGCTGGTAAGTAGGCCCAATCGGTAGAATTGCAGTAGGAATATGGGTAATAGGCATGTTTGTTGAAAACCCAGCATTTCAATGCTATAAATTGTAATAATAAGGTGTTAAAAAAGGTAATTGGGAAATAGAACCAATAGAATCTTTGTCACGACCCAACCTGTTATTTTGTATATTATAGCCCCGTTTCCCTATTTATTTCCTCTTTGATATTTATTTATGGTTATGTGACTTGTTGGGGTAGTTGGATTGGTTTCAGAAATATTTTGGGGTGAATTGTGACACTTAGTATCAAAGTTAGAAGCTTAAGTTGGAAGAGCTAACCGGAGTTTAACTTTTGTGTAGACGACTCCGAAATAGATTTTTGATGATTTCGATAACTTTGTACGATTATTTTGGACTTAGGCGTATGTCCGGATGTTGATCTGGAGGTCCGTAGGTTGGTTTGAGGATTTTTGGCAAAATTTGGAAAGTTGAAGGTTTGGAAGGTAGAGAGGTTTGACCAAAAGTTGACTTTGTTGATATCGGGTTTGGATTTTAGTTCTGGGAGTTGGAGTAGGTCCTATGTGTCATTTGGGACTACTGTGCAAAAGTTGAGGTCATTCAGAGTTTATTTGGTATGGTTCGTCATTAGTTTTAGAAGTTGGAAGTTTATTAGTTTCATTAGGTTTGAATTGGTGTGCGGTTCGTGATTTTGGTGTTGTTGGATGTGATTTGAGGTTTCGAGTGAGTCTGTAATGTGTTTTAGAACTTGTTGGCATATTTGGATGGGATCCCGGGGGCCTCGGGTGTGATTCGGGTAGTTGACGGATCCTTTTGGACCTTAATGAAATGCTGAAGCAGGGAAGTTCTGGTGCAATCGCACCTGCGAAGGAGTTTCCGCAGGTGCGACGCTGCAGGAGCAGCCATTTGGTCGGAGCTGTATGTTTGGCTGGGGCCGGTGAAGGTCGCAGATGCGAAGGGTTGACCATATTTGCGAGCTCGCAGATGCGAATAAGGGATCGTAGAAGCGAAAAAGGGCAGTCAAGCCTAGGACTGCAGATGCAGAGACTTTCCGCAAGCGACGATGCAGAATTTAAGTGAAGTGCACAAATGCACAATTTTGACGGTAGAAGCAGATACTTGGACCGCAGGTGCGAATTCTACGGCAGGTTGTTATGTTCGAAGGGTTAGAGTATTTTCTCATTTTGGGAGATTTGGAACTCGGCTAAGGGCGAGTTTTGAGAGGGGTTTTGCTACAATTGGAGAGGTGAGTGAAGTTTAATCACTTTTGTTGATAAATATTGATTACCCATTGATTATTATACCTAGTTTATGTGAATTTGAATTGAAATTTTGGGATTTTAGACCATAGCATTGGAGAATGAGATTTTGTTATTTGAGGGTCGAATTGTGGATGGAATTGGATGAAATTAGTATGGTTTACTCGTAATTGAATGGGTGTTCGGAATTTGTGAATTTTGCAAGGTTTTGGGGTGCGAGCTCGGAGTTGACTTTTTGTGTTGACTGTTGAATTTTTTATTTTTGTTAAAGACCTTAGCTTTATCATTTGGAATCCATTCCAATAGTTTTTATTTATTGTATTAAGTTATTTTGGCTAGATTTGAGCCGTTCAGAGATTGATTTGCGCGGAATGGGCTTATTAGTGGATTGATTTTGCTCGTTAGAGGTACGTATCTTGTTTAATTTTGTATGGGGGAAACTACCCCTTAGGATTTGGGTTGGATGTGTTATTTGAATTATGTGAAAAACGTGTACATGAGGTGACGAGTGTGTACACAGTCTTATATATGGTATTTTGACTAGTTTAGACTCTTTTGTTGCTTCCATGCATTTAATTGAAATTGTCTTAACATGTTATATCTTTCATTGTTAAATTTATTTTCACATGCTCTAATTGACGTTGTTAGTACATGTTCTATCATTTATTTTTAAGTTTGCTATTATATGCTTTAGTTGAAATTGATACCTCTCTTATTGCCTTGTTACTTCGTTATTGTTGAATTATTCTTATTGGAAGTTGTCATTTCGTGGGGATACCTTCATTTTGAGTTATTGAAGTTGAAGTTGTGAAAGCTATTAATGCATTGAGGTTGAAGTTGTTAATTATTAAGATATCCTTCCTCGTTTAGTATTTATCATTCATTTTGTTATTATTGAGATTCTTGCTCACATTGTGATTGAGCCGTAGGCTATATTACGGTAATATTTGTATTATTGATTTTGGTGAGTGTTGTGGCATACGCATGCAGTGGTATAATGATAGGTTTGATACGCATGTGGTGAGATAAGGTGGGATTTATACACATGTTGCTAGTAAGGGAATTACTTGAAGCCATACGGTGAGATAATTGGGTTAGAATGCATGTAGCTATTTCGAAAAAAATATTTTCAAAATAAATGTAAGGCTCACGCGGTGATATAAGGGAGATGGTGATTGTGACTTGTGAAATGAGATTGTGAGGCATGGTACCTCGGTTGTGATTCTTGATGTATATTTTATGATAAAATGTGTTATTGGTAGAACAATTTTTATTATCTCTTCATTTTTCTTACTTGTAATTGTCCGTATTTGATTACTTGTTGTTCATATCATGTGTTCACTTTTTGTTTCCTTTATTGCCTTAAATTCTGTTACTATCCTACATTAGTATACTGCTTTGTTGTCATTCATCTCCTAGTTTTTCCGTCATTAGAATATATTATATTTTTTTTCAGTTTTCTTGTCCTAGTAGGTGTCTTGACCCGACCTCGTCACTACTCTACCGAGGTTAGGCTTGATACTTACTAGTTACTGTTGTGTTTTACTCATGTTACGCTTCTACACATTGTTATGTAGATCCAGGTACATCCGCTTGTGCCGGACGCTAGTGATAGACCAGCTATTTCTCGAGACTTCAAGGTACACTTGATCGACATTCGTAGGCCTCGAAGTCACCTTCTATTTTTAGTTGTATTACTGTTTAATTCCTGTTCAAAAGAGTATTGTATTTATAGATTATTAGTGCACTCTCTATAGATCTTATGACTTAGTTCCACCGAGTTTTGGGAGTTTCTTGATAGATGTATTGTTTGAGTTTTATTACAATAGTTTAACAATTTAAATTGTTATCTAAGTTGTTACTTCTGTTAATTATGTATGTATGTTAGGCTTATCTATTCTAAGAGACTAGCTGCCATCACAACATCCTAAGGTGGGAATATGGGAACATGACATTTTGGTATCAAAGCACCAGGTTCATAGGTATTACGATTCAGAAGTAAGGTTAGTTGAGTCTTGCAGATCGGTACAGAGATGTTTGTACTTATCTTCGAGAGAATACAGAACCATTAGGAAAATTCACTTCTTTGATTCCTTATCATGCGAACTTGTTGATTTCAAAATTTGAGTCTTTGTCTTTCGATTCTCTCACTGATGGTGAGGACACACATTGTTGGATCAAATTATCAGATATTCGCGCCCCTTGCTATAGCTGTGCGAGGCCGGACGCCGAGGTAGAGGCCGAGGAGGGGCACATGCTACAGCTAGAGCACTTGTCTGAGCAGTGACTGAGGAGCCACCTATAGCTCAACTTGGGGGGACAGGCACCTGAGGAGCCTGTTGTCACCTCTGGACATCAGGAGACCCTAGTACACTTTTGAGCATGTTTAGTACTCTAGCCCAGGTGGGATTGATCCCGGTTGCTCCAGCTACATCTCAGGCTGGAGGAGAAGCTCAGACTACTGTGTTTGACTAGGTTTGGCGTGTCATGCCAGCACAACTAGTTATTCCGGTTCAGTTTGAGGTCAGGGCAACGACATCTAAGGAGAAGCATAGGAGACTCGAGAGGTTCAAGAAGTATGATCCTCCTACTTTTAGTGGCACAACTATGATCCTCCTACTTTTAGTGGCACAACTACCGAGGATGTGCAAGATTTTCTAGAGAAGTGCCGCCGAATTCTCTGCACCATAGGTATTGTGTAGGTGTGCGGAGTTGCTTTTACTAAATTTCAACTGTTAGGCGCAACGTATGGGTGGTGGAAGGCTTACGAAGGGGGTAGGCAAGTGGATGTAGCCCCACTCACTTGGGCTCAGTTTTCTGAGATATTCTTGATGAAGTTTGTTCCTCTAACCCTTCGGGATGCATGGAACACAGAGTTTGAGCAGTTGTGTAAGGGAAATATGTTTGTGGCAGATTATGCTATCAAATTCAATAAGTTGTCTCGACATGCACCTGCCTTAGTTTCTACATTCAAAGAGAGAGTTTTCAGATTTATCGAGGGGCTTAGTTATGGTTTTAGATTTGTCATGGCATGAGAGTTGGAGATAGATACTCCATGTCAGCAGGTTGTAGAAATTTCCTGGAGTATAGAGGTATGTGGGGCTAAGAGAGGGAGCATAGGGAGGCCAAGAGGCCTTGAGATTCTGGAAGATATAGCGGTGGTCGTGCCCCGATTGCAGCCCATCATGGAAAAGGCTATGTGAGATGCCCAGTTCATTCTGCACCTCCAACTACTAGCAGTGCCTCGGCTATTCAGAGGTCTCAAGCTGTCTCTTATGCACAAGCCCTTTCCAGTACACTTCCTACGCGGGGTGCCTTCAACGGTCAGTCCAGCCGACCAGGTCAGAGTCAGTCTTAGCAGCCACGCCCACCGAGAGCTTGTTTCGAGTGTGGTGATTTCAGACATATGGTGAGGGACTGCCTTAGACTTAGGAGGGGTGCACCTCCATAGACTATAGAGTCTCCACAGATTCCACCGGGTCCACAGGCCATGGTTACTGCTCCAGTTGCCGTTCCACATGCGCCGCCAGCTAGGGTGTAGGTCAGGCAGGTAAAGGTCGCCCTAGAAGAGGAGGCCATGCTTGATTCTATGCTTTTCCTGGTAGGTCGGGGGAGGTTGAATCGGATGTTGTCATCACAGGTATTGTTCTGGTCTGTCATGGGAATACATTAGTTTTATTTGATATGGGTTCCACTTACTCATATGTGTCATCCTACTTTACTCCGTATTTGGATATATCCCGTGATTCTTTGAGAGCTCATGTATATGTTTCCACACCTATGGGATATTCTATTATTGTAGATAGTGTCTATCGATCGTGTTTAGTCACTGTTAGTTGTTATGAGACCAGAGTTGATCTATTGTTTCTCGGTATGGTAGACTTTGAAGTGATCTTTTGTCGCGGTTGGAGTGGAGGGGTACATTAGATTATATTCCTAGAAGGGTTGTGTCCTTTCTTAAGGCACAACGAATGGTTGCGAAGGGGCGTGATGCATAATTAGCCTTTGTGATGGATGTCAGTGCTGATACTCCTACAATTGAGTCATTTTCGGTAGTGAGAGATTTCCCAGATGTGTTCCCAGCAGACCAACCTGGCATGCCGCCCGATAGGGATATGAATTGTGGTATTGATTTGGTGCCTGACACTTAGACCATTTCTATTCCACCATATTGTATGGCACCAGTGGTGTTGAAGGAGTTAAAGGAACAACTTCAGGAGTTGCTCGATAAGTGTTTCATCTGGATGAGTGTTTCACCTTGGGGTGCTCCGATTTGTTTTGTGAAGAAGAAGGATGGTTTTATGCGGATAGGTATTGATTATACGCAGTTGGACAAAGTTATAGTCAAGTACAAGTACCCACTACCCTGCATTGATGACTTATTTGCCCAGCTTCAGGGTGCTAGATTATTCTCGAAGATTGATTTGAGGCCAGGGTATCACCAGCTAAAGATTCAAGATCCGGATATCAGGAAGACTACTTTTAGGACTATGTATGGTCACTACGAGTTTCTAGTGATATCATTTGGGCTAACCAACACCCCGGTAACATTTATTCACTTAATGATTGGTGTATTCCAGCCATATCTTGATTCATTCGTCATCGTGTTCATTGGCATCATTTTGGTAATTTCTCGTAGCCGGGAGGATCATGAGAATCAGTTGAGGATAGTGCTCCAGACCTTGAGGGAGAAGAAGTTATATGCAACATTCTACAAGTGTGAATTCTAACTTGATTCGATGGTGTTTTGGGGTCACGTGGTGTATAATGAGAGGATTAAGGTAGATCCAAATAAGGTGGAGGCAGTTGAGAGTTGGCCTACACTGTCTTCTGCTACTGAGATCCGGAGTTTTCTAGGCTTGGCTGGTTATAATCGCCATTTGTAGAGGGGTTTTCATCCTTCACAACTTCTTTGACCAGGTTGACTCAGAAGGGTGCTCCATTCACGTGGTCCGACGAGTGTGAAGAGAGCTTTCAGAATCTTAACACATGCACAAATACCAGTTCTAGTTTTGCCGTCAGCATCAAGTTCATATACAATTTATTATGATGCTTCGTGGATTCACATCGAGTGAGTCTTGATGCAGAAAGGTGGGGTGATTGCTTATGCTTATGTCTTGATACAATCTACCTCATTCATGATTTAGAGTTGGCAACTATTGTTCATGCATTGAAGATTTGGAGGCACTATCTCAACGGTGTGCCCTGTGAGGTATTCACAGATCATTGAAGTTTACAACATTTGTTTAGGTAAAAGGATCTAAACTTGAGGCAGTAGAGGTGGCTAGAGCTGTTAAAAGACTATGATATCACCATTTTGTATCATCTAGGAAGGTTAATTTGGTAGTTGATGCCTTAAGTAGAAAGGATGAGAGTATAGGTAGCCTTGCGTATATTCCTGTGGTTGAGAGACTGCTAGCATTGGACGTTCAAGCTTTGGCCAATCAATTTGTGAGGTTAGATGTTTCAGAGCCTAGCCAGGTTCTTACTTGCGTGGTTTCTCGGTCTTCTTTGTATGAGCACATCAGAGCGCGTGAGTATGGCTACCCCAATTTGCTTGTCCTTAAGGATACGATACAACATGTTGATGCCAAGGAGGTTTCTATTAGAGATGATGGGGTGTTTCGAATGCATGGTCAGATATGTGTGCCCAATGTGGATGGGTTGCATGAGTTGATCCTTGAGGAAGCCCACAATTTGCGGTATTCCATTCATACGGGTGCTGCTAAGATGTATCAGGATCTGAGGCAACACTATTGGTATAGAAGAATAAAGAAAGATATGGTGGAGTATCTGGTTCAGTGCTTGAACTGTTAGCACATGAAGTAGGAGCATCAGATACCAGGCGTTTTGCTTTAGAGGATTAAGATTACCGAGTGGAAGTTGGAGAGTAATACCATATATATCGTTGTTGGGCTCCCACTGACTCTGAAATAATTTGACGGAGTGTGGGTTATTGTGGATAGGCTAACCAAGTCGGCACATCTCATTCCGGTGGTGACTACCTATTCTTCAGAGCAACTGGCTCATATCTATATCGCTGAGATTGTTCGTCTTCATGGTGTGCCATGTCCATTTTCTCCGATCGAGGCACACAGTTCACCTTACATTTCTGGAGAGGCGTACAGTGTGAGTTAGGCACACGGGTTGAGTTGAGTATAGCATTTTACCTTTAGATAGACGGGAGGTCCGAGCGCACCATTAAAATCATAGAGGATATGCTATGTGCATGTGTTATGGATTTTGGGGGTTCATGGGATCAGTTCTTACCGCTTGTAGAGTTTGCCTACAACAACATCTCCCAATCGAGTATTCAGATGGCTCCTTATGAGGCCTTATATGGGAGGCAGTGTCATTTTCCACTTGGTTTGTTTAAGCCGGGAGAGGCTAGGATGTTAGGCATTGATTTGGTTAGGGATGCCTTGGAGAAAGTCAAGTTAATTCAGGATCGGCTTCGTACAACACAGTCTAGACAAAAGACTTATGCTGATCGGAGGGCTCATGAGGTAGCATTTATGGTGGGAGAGAGGGTTTTGCTTTAGGTTTAACCTATGAAGGGCGTGATGAGGTTCGGGAAGAAGGGAAAGTTGAGCCCTAGGTATATTGGTCCTTTTGAGATCCTTGATAGAGTTGGTGAGGTGGCCTACAGCTTATCGACAGTTCACCCGGAGTTCCATGCTACTATACTCTAGAAGCATAATAGGGATCCATCACATGCATTACATTTCAGCTCAGTCCAATTGGACAAGGATTTGACATATGTTTAGGAGCCAATGGCTATATTGGAAAAGGAAGTCCGTAAGTTCAGGTCAAAGAACATTGCTTCTGTAAAGGTTCAGTGGACAGGTCACTGATCAAGGAGGCGACTTGGGAGACCGATCATGCTATGTGCAGCCGTTATCCTCACCATTTCAGCACTTCAAGTATGTCTCTATCCTCGTTCGAGGACGGACATTTATTTTACAAGGGAGAGAATGTAATGATCCGGTCGGTCGTTTTGTATATTGTATACATATTCCCTTATTTATTTCCTCTTCTATGTTCATTTGTGGTTATGTGACTTGACAGGGTGGTTGGATAAGTTTCGGGGTGAATTGGGGCACTTAGTCTCAAAGTTAGAAGCATAAATTAGAAGAGTTGATCGGAGTTTTACGTTTGTGTAGACGACTCCAGAATGGAGTTTTTATGATTTCGATAGCTTCGTATGGTGATTTTGGACTTAGGCATATGTTCATATGTTGATTTGGAGGTCCGTAGGTTGGTTTGACTCTTTTTGGCGAAAGTTGGAAAGTTGAAGGTTTGGAAGGTTGAGAGGTTTGACCGAGAGTTGACTTTGTTGATATCTGGTTTGGGTTTTGGTTTCGGGAGTTGGAGTAGGCCCGTTGTGTCATTTGAGACTAGTGTGCATAATTTGAGGTCATTCAGAGTTAATTTGATATGGTTCGGCATTAGTTTTAGATGTTGGAAGTTTGTTGGTTTCATTAGGCTTGAATTGGTGTGCGATTCGTGATTTTGGTGTATTTTGATGTGATTTGAGGTTTCGAGCGAGTTCGTATTATATTTTAGGATTTGTTGGTACGTTTGGATGGGGTCCCGGGGGCCTCAGGTGTGATTTGGGTGGTTGACGAATCTTTTGGACCTTGAAGGAATGTTGAAGCTGGGAAGTTCTGGTGCTTGCCAATTGGTCACATGTTCATATTTGGCAGGGGCTGGTGAAGGTCACAGGTGCAAAGGGTCGACCGCATCTGTGAGCTCGTAGATGCAGATAAGGGAACGCAGAAGCGGAAAAGGGCAGTGAGGTCTAGGATCGCAGATGCAGAGACTTTCCGCAGGTGCGGGACATTTAGGTGAGGGTTTTGGACCACAAAAGAGACGGAGAGGAACTTAAGTGAAGTGCTAAGATGCGCAATTTTGTCCGCAAAAATGGTGCTGCAGAAGAGATACTTGGACCGCAGATGCATAATCTCTTGTAGGTTATTATGGTTGAAAGGTTAGTGTGTTTTCTCATTTTGGGAGATTTGGAACTCGGCTAAGGGCAATATTTGAGAGGGCTTTTGCTACAATTCGGAGGTAAATGAAGTTTAATCACTTTTGTTGATATATATGGATTACCGATTGATTATTACACCTATTGTATGAGATTTTGAAGTGATATTTTGGGGATTTTAGACCATGGCATTGGAGAGTACAATTTGGTAATTTAAGGGTCGATTTGTGGATGAAATTAGTATGGTTGGATTCGTAACTGAATGAGACTCCATTCTTATGACTTTTATTGATTGTAATAAGTTATTTTGGTTAGAATCCAACCGTTCGAAGGTTGTTTCACATGGGAAGGTCTTTTTAGAGTATTAATATAGTTTCGTTGAGGTAAGTATGATGCCTAACTTTGTGTGGGATAACTACCCCTTAGGATTTGGGTTTGTTGTATCATTTGAATTATGTGAAAGACATGTACGCGAGGTGACGAGTGTGTAAATAGGATTATATGTGGTATTTGACAGGTTAGACTCCTAGGCTTCTTTTATGCATTAACCGAAGTCTTCATATCATGTTATATCCTCCATGCTAAGCTTACTCTTACATGCTTTATTTGAAGTTGTTAGCACATGTTCTAACTTTTATTTGTCAAAATTTACACTTCTATGCTTGGTTGAAGTTTTTACCTCTTTTATTGTCATGCTACCTCTTTATTTATTGAATTATTCTTATTTGAAGTTGGTGTTACATGATATCCCTTCATTGTCGAGTTATTCTCAATTATTTAGACGTAGTTGCTATTTCATGTCATCTCTTTCATTGTTAGCTTATATTATACACTAGAAGTTGAAGTTGCCATTTCATGAAAATATCGTCAGTATTTAGTTTATTCTTAAGAAATTAATTGACGTTAAAGTTATTGAGAGCCATTAACCTGTTTAGTTGAAGTTGTTGTTTAATGGAGTATCTTTCATTATTGAGTTATTTTCCCGTTTCCTTTTGTTGCTATTGACATTTTTGTACACATAGTGGTCGAGCCGTGACCTATATGTTGTGGTGATATCGATATTGTTGTTTTGGAAAGTTTGTGTCCTATGGGCACTTGTGGTACGAATTGATATTTCGTGCTGTTGTGATGTTAGCACACATAGATTTATTGTGTGGATTGATTGTTGTTATGTAAAGAATAAGGGTAGAATCTCATTGTTGTTCATTATGTGGAGTGATATGGGTGGCTATTGTGATGTTTTGTCTAGGTAGAGTGATATGGGTGGCTATTGTATTTATTGTCTTGGCAGACTGATACGGGTGGCTATTGCGTTACTATCTGGGTAGAGTGACACGAGCTCCTATTGTGTTAAATGTCTGGGCGGAGTGATACAAGTAGCTATTATGAAATGATCATCACGGAGAGACAAAGGTGGATATGTCAGGTATGATATGTGAAGGCCTGAGGGCATAATGTTGATAATATTCATGTAATGGCATGATTTTCCTTGTGTGTGTCATGCACCTTACGTGACTTGTTGTATTGTCTCCAATGAGCTACTCGATTTCTTTGATATTACTTGTTGACTTGGACTGTAATAATACACTCATACATGCATACACTGTAGCATGCCATTTATACTAGTTCAGGAGTATGAAACTTTACATTCATTGATCATGCAAATGTAGTCATGTATATTTGCTTTCATCTTGATATTGAGCCTGTGACCACGCCGACTAGATTGTGATATTGAGCCTGTGATCATGCCAGGCGATTGTGATATTGGGCCTATGAACATGCCGGGGGGATTGTGATAGTGAGCCTCTGACCATGTCGGCCGGATTGTGATAGTGAGCCTATGTCCATGCTGGGATGATTGAGGTATTGGCACGTGAGTTGTCCATATGGTTATGATTGATAATGTGGGTACAAGGTGCCATGTGTATATGATTTAGCACTCGTGGCTTGTGGTTTTGAGGAGTGGTACCTCGAGGTGGTTTTGTTGTAAACATTGTGTTATAACATCTTGATTATTTGGTTGTCATGTGTCTACCTTTTTTGGTTTCACTGGTACTTTAACGGTGTTCCGATTACTTTACTGTTTTTATTACACATTTATTCCATATTTCCATTTACTGATACTTTCTTTCATTATTAGCTTTATACTTAAATACTGCACAAGTTATTATGTCTAGTATGTGTCTTGACTTGTACCTAGTTACTACTCCAACGAGGATAGTCTTGATTCTTACTGGGTACCTTTAACGACCCAACCGGTTGTCGTGCCCCTTCTTTCTCGCGAAATCGGGCTTCGACGTCGTGACAACTCTTTCTAAAGGAAGGGTGTTGAAAGAGAGAGTCGCCACCTAACGTGTTTGAGGTGCGTTAGGTCACCTATTTGCAAGTAACTATGGTTTAACCAGTTTGCGTCACCAAAGATCGGGTAAGGGCTCAAATTACCTCGAGGAGAAGGTGCTAGGCATTCCTCGAGGTCCACAACTGTGGGTCCCGGTCGAACTCGAATTATACGAATTAGGCCAAAATAAAGAGAAAAGATAAGAAGCTGGGCAATTATTATCAAAAGTCTACAAACAAACACAAATAATTCACTTTAAGACAAGATTGGGGAGTGGGGGTCCTAAGTTTTTTAGCCTAAAGGATCACCCCCTGCAACATAAATAATACTTTGTAACTCCCTCAAGATGGGGTGTTACTCGTATTATTCAGCGGGCACAGAATATCATCTCCTGCTACCCGATTACTATCTTTAAGTTGTTTACCTAAAGCGCACTAATTGATTCTAAATCGTACCTTATGCGTGCACTACCCGTCCCATACCTATAGTCCAGGAGGCATTTGGACCTCTATCTTGGGTGGTTCTAGACTTAACTTAGGTTGCTCAAAATGATAAAAATAGGCGACATACAAAACAAGTTGGACTTCGTGTGAAGACAATTAAGGGCTGAAGTTAGCCTCCACACTTAGACAACAAATGCATGCAATCAAATTAGGCATTTGACAGTTTCAGAATTGAGACAAGTTAAAGCCATTAAGCCCTATAGACATGGTTTCTATGTGACCTTGGGATTCAAGCGTGCAGGCAATTTCAAAGCAAGATGCCATTTTAGAATGACTTCTAAGTGACTACGTAGTTGCCTACTGATTATATGTTATAAGAGGTTAAACCTATAGGCATGATATCTAGGTGATTTATGCAGTAATTAGCAATGATAATTGCAGGAGAATGTTCGGAATTGCTTAGTTGGATCCTATAGGCATGCTTTCTAATAGTGACAATGACACAGTGTTGAAAGTTCAACATTAACATTTAATGGAAACGAGCGAGAAAATCAATAATTAAGATTGATTTTAGATCCTAATGGCCTGATTTATATAGTCACAATTAAGGCTGATTTTAGATCCTATAGGCATGATTTCTATAACAAATAATTAAGACTGATTTTAGATCATATAGGCATCATTTCTATAAC